CCAGCCGCGGGACGTGCTCGTCGGGCAACGGTGGACATGGCTCCGTGTCCCACCGGGCGGTCCGCGGCCGGCCGTGTCTGCCGGCCGTGTCTGTGCGCTGGCGGCTCGGCTGCGGCCGCTGGCGGGCCCTGCTCGGCCCGGTGCGGCCGCTCCACGCCCACACCGGGCCGTTATCGGGCGGCGATAACGCAGCGTCGTGCATCAGGCCACGCTGCCGGACAGCACGTGCTCGCACTTGACTGCGATTGAGACGCACGGGACCCCAAGCTGTCGAGTCAGCTGTCCGAAAGGCTTGTCAGCTTACAGAATGACGACATGCTAGGCCGGCATCGTTTACGTCGACCTTGCGTGAACCGGATGGAAAGGCTTGAAATGTATGTGCCTTGGAGCTGGAAGCGCAGTGCTGAACATAGTGGGATGTGATGGCCAGCTCGAGCAGTTCGCTACTGCGCGCTGCATCGCCAATCTACCGAACAGTGGCTTGCTGATGTGGCAGGTCAGCTGCTGGTGCGTAAGGAGGCACGGAGACACTCGTCCCGTTCTCAGCAGGCGCGTTCACGGCCGGCGTATTCGGGCTGACAAGCGCCCGCGTGTGGAATGCTGTGACACTGATGCGCGGAGCCGTCTGCAGTGGGCCCAAGCCCTGCACTTTCTGTTTCGTTCCTAGTGTCATTAAAATTCAAATCGACAGTTGTTTAACCTGGCCTTGTCGATTCTGGCCCGTGAGCCACACCTGATGACAGATAATCTGGACTCCAGATCTGATGTGGCCTTCGTCGGGAGATTGTTCTCCTGGATACAAGTCACGGGCGTCGCTGTCTGGCCCAAACTACCTGTCATTGTGGACCAATAGCCTTGGGACGCGACTCGAATTCTATTCCCACTTGAACGTGCGAGCTGGGCCGAGTGAAGTGACGGGTGCGGTCGGCGCCGCCGGCGTCCTCCTGGGTCCGTTCCTCAGCCGTCAGCAGCGGCCGGCCGCGGTGACGACGCGGTCCGGCCGACCAGGTCAGCCGAGGTCAGGTCAGGCCGATCGACGAGTCATCCACCTCCGCGTGGGGTCAGTCTGGGCTAGCTGCTGGCGCGCTCCTGCTGGCTGAGTTCAGGCATTCGTATGTTTGAGGTGAGCTCCTCTCGGTCCTCTGACGTCGGTGGTACTAGCCTCAGTAGCGCCTCGGTCGAGCTCGCCGTCGTCAGGCCGAGGTCCGGCCGTGTCAGGTCTGGTCAGCTCGGTCCAGACCAGGTCTGGTCGCCCGCCGATCATGCGGCGCGCCGCGACGGACTGGCCTGGCGGCCGCGGCGGACTGGCCTGGCACGCCGGTGGACTGGCCTGGCGCGCGGACGGACTGGCCTGGCGCCTTGGTGGACTGGCCTGGCGCGCCGCGACAGACTGGCCTGGCGCGCCTTGGTGGACTGGCCTGGCGCGCGACAGACGCCCTGGCGCGCCGGACGGACTGGCCTGGCGCGCCGCGACAGACTGGCCTGGCGCGCCGCGGCGGACTGGCCTGGCGCGCCGTGGTGGACTGGCTTGGCGCGCTGCGACAGACCGCCCTGGCGCGCCGCGGCGGACTGGCCTGGCGCGCCGTGTTGGACGGCTTGGCGCGCTGCGACAGACCGCCCTGGCGCGCCGCGACGGACTGGCCTGGCGCGCCGGGCGCCAGGCTGGAGCGGACCCTGACGGCCGCCGCTGACCACTCCGTGCCGTGTCGAAACAACCGGCCGCTCGGTAACACTCTGAATGTGGGCCGCCGGCTGAAAAAAGTTGGGCAGGGGGGGGGGGGCGATATCGTGCGGCCTGGCCGGCGCCGCCTGATAACTAATGCAGCGGTGCTGTCGGCTGGAATACGCTTTTAGCTCCCGATTAACATGAAATCAATTAGGTCAAAGAGGCGAGACACGCTACGGGATTAGAGGAGACGCTCGGCCGACGGCGGATATGAGCTCAAGGTGGTCGTCTGCGCGCGATCGTTAGCGGGTGTGTATGATCGGCTGTACGAGGCAAACACCAATCGTGTGATTCAAAACGGGTTGATCTTTAATTTTTTCTCTTGAACACCGTGCGGGTCGCGAGAGTTGATTTTAGGGCAAACCCGACCCGTTGGTTTGGTTTTTAACGTTGTGAGGTAGCTACCATCAGGCACAACGCGATCCTGTCCTCTCCAGTGTGCGTGCTCCGCTCCAGCCCTCGGCGTGCATGCAGGGCGTTATCCCAGCGACGCCGCGCTGCTGCTGAGCGGTGTGGTTTGCACGGCGCGGTCCTGCCGGCAGCGCCACACTCCCGGCGCCGCGGCGCGCCCCGCCCCGCCCCAGCTCGACACCGCTGGCGGGACACAATGCCGGCGCACTGTCCACGTGCCGCGCTGACGGCCGGCCTCGCGCCGCCGCCCGCCATTGACGGCCGCCCCGCCGTGACGTCACAGCACGCGCGGCGGCCGGTAGTGGTAGCGCGCGGCATGTGCGGGCCGCACGGCTGGTGATGCGCCCCTCGACAAATGCCGCCCCTCGCGACCTCCCAGCGGCCACCGAGCTGGCCGCTCGGCGGCGGTCGCGCTGCCTTCTCGCGCCGCGGCGTGTCGGTGGTCGTAACGAGGGCACGCGCCGTGGGCGGGACGCCATCCGGGCAACGCATCGCGCCAGGTGGGGGGGGAGACCGGCTCATCACCTGCCCCCCCCCCCCCCCCCGCACACCGCCCCTCGCCGCCGCAACGGGCGCGCTCCCTTCCGCGGCGGAGCGTCAAGGTCGCCGGGGTCGGCGCGGCGCCGGCCGCCGGGTTGTCGCCCCCTGCCGGGCGCCGCCGCCGGTCACGGTCACGGAGACGCGCGCGCCCCGCTGACGTCACGGGTACCGCCGGCAGACGGATGCCAGCCCCGTCACGGTCTGCGCGCGTATCTCCTCGGCTCCCTATCACCTCGTCACTTTACCCACATGGCTAGAATCCCACGCCTCCGCTGAAGTCGTGTCGTTAGGCTTTGACTCATGCTGAAGTTTGAAGTCGATCTGCATGTGTAATTGGAACCAAACGAGCGCAGATGGCTGTCGCGATAAAGGCGGCAGAACTGAAGATTGCAGAATGTTTTCCGGCTGATGTGATTTATATCCATTTGGGTCGTGTCTCGGGTACGCGTCGTGGTCGCGAGCATGAAGACGGGCCGTGGTAAATTCCGGTTCGTTCGCCTCATGGGTGTGAGGTGATGGTACCTGGTGTCAGTACCATTGCTTCACACCCATCATGTAACACCCAAACTGCGAGGGGAGGACCGCCGCGTTGGTGACGTGACGCACGGTCGAACGTTTGGCGTCGCTATCTGTTATGCCAAATTTCCGCGGTTTGTTTTGTTTGTTTTCTGTTGACGGTATCGAAAATGCAGGGGCGGTAGGAAACGGCTTACACAGGCTCCCGCGTGCTCCAGTGCCCATTTACTGATCAGGACATATGCTAGTTGGGTGGGAACTGGTCTACCGACCGAGGGTGCAGCCACCAAGCACGGCCCCTTGTCATCGGGACAGTGCCGGTCGCCACTGGAGCGCGGGCTACCCGGCAGACGCGACTGGCCGCCGCGGCATCAGTTTGGTCAGTCTAGCTGCGGACGTTCGCACTGAGGCAGGGTGGTTTGTTTTCTCGTTTGCGCACCGTCGGAGCAGCTGTTGCGCCTGGTCCGGCGCGTGCTGTCGATGAAAGCCGATAGAGAAGGCGTGGTAAGTCCGGTTGGCGGCTCTGTCCCTGACGCCGTGGTCGCCAGGTCAGCACAAATCGGCTGCCGAGCGTACTCGCTGGGACAGCAGCCGCCAGTAGCGCGGCGTGGCGTGGCCGGCACCCGAGCGCGGCCGATGACGGGCGCTCTCGGCCGAGCTGGGCCGTGACCGAGGCGGCGCGGCGCTCTGGTCACGCGCCGGCCGCGGGCCGTTGGCACCTGTGGCCGCTCGTGACCTTGCGGCCGCACGGCCCGCGCCACAGTCGCCGGCGACATCGCGGCCGCGCGCGGTGCAGGGCCGCCGACGGGTGCTATCGTCCGCCGCTGCTGACGCGCTGCGGCACGGCATACCGGCCGGGGAATGAAGCGACGCTTTCTCTCCATCGAGCGCTGGCTGGGAATCTCAGCCGTGCGTCTCCTCGTCAAGCGCTTGGAAAATCTCAGTCGTGCATCATACCTGGCGACTGCACTTCAACGGAAAGGATGCTGATTACAGCATGTCGTCACGCCCGGCGTGGCCGCTGACTTGGCGCGGTCTCCCGTTGGCTCGGCCGGCACGCCGCCGAGAATGACTGTGTGCATGACTGGGTGTGAGTCCCCGGCTCCGCACGTCGAGTTCCGCGTCATTACAGGCCGCTAATGGCCGCTGCCACGCCACTGGAATGGGGTACGCCGGACGGTGATCGCCGCCGGGGGAGGTCAGGCGCGGACCGGCGGCTCGGGGATGGCGGGCGTCCGGCAGCGGTGGGCACACGACCGAGCCTGAGCCTGCACGCCGGCCGGCTGGCGGCGGCGGCGCGATCGTCGGCCGCGCGCGCGTCGCTGTGTGGGCGCCGCGACCTACGGCGCTGTGGGGTCCGGGGCCCGGCCTGTGGCCGTCACGGGTCCCGGCCGCCTGAGAAGCAGCGGCAGCCCGCTGCCAGCCGCGGACTCAGCTGGCGCCGGCTGCTCCGGCGGCCGGGCACACGGCGCCTGTTGATCGTGATCGATCCCCGCCACGGTGGGGTTCTCGCGTTTTCAATTATGGCTCGGCGCTCCGCCACGGAAGCTGCACACGGCGGTCATCCGGCGCGCGGCTGGGAGCCCTGGGCAGGCGGCTCTGACTGGAGGGTGATTACGCGCCTCTCCGAGCCCGGTCCGGCGCTGCGGCCCGTGTCCGAGCCTCAGCCCATCTCTGCGGCTGAACTTGAGCCGTGATTTACTGGTGAACAGAGTTCCCAAGTTTTCAGACGCGCGTTCGCCCAAGCGCAGATACCCTGACGCGAAGCTCCGCTCAAATCTGATTCCCTAAGTCCTCGCCCAGATCCCTGTCCGGTATGTCCAAATCCGACGGGCCTGAGCCCGGGCCTGGATCCCAGGCCAAGCCGGGCGGCGGGGCAGTGACTGACGGCGTCGGCTGCGTGCACTGGCGGCGGCACCGCGCGCCTATGACGCCGACATGACGGTCCGGCGAGCGGCCCACAAGTGCGCGCCGCCGCCGCCGCCGCCGCAGCAGCAGCAGCAGCAGCAGCAGCTGCGCCGGCGGCGGCGGCCGGGCTGCCGCGTGACACCGGCCACGGCGGCACGCCCGGCTGCCACGGCCGGGCCGCGTGGCAGGCGCCTCTGACCCGGATGGCGGCGGTGTCGTGACCGAAGTAGGCGTCCCGGGTGGGGCGACAGACTGCTGCGTCGGGCCGCGTGACTCCGAGGCTCGAGGTTGTCAGCCGTCGGTGGCAGGCGGCTGTGATCCGCACCGGCTAACCGTAGACGGCAGGCGTGGTCCGGTTTGGAACTAGGAAATTTGTCTGAGGAGTTTCCCCGAACATCGTTTCCTCCCCGGATTTCGACGGTGTGTATTATGTTTCGTAAAGCTTGTGCCGATTAGGACATAACGAGGAGCCCCGTTCCACTCCAGCCCCATCTGCCATGTTCTTGTCGCACGGTGGCTGATCTTTGCAACACCTATGCCGTTGCCGCACGTGTAGTGTTCCCCTGTCATGTGTTAAGCGTTCGTTGTCAGCACTTTACCCGTGGTAGCGTTGTTCTCAGTGTTGTCACAGCCCTACCGAACACACCCTCCGCGCTGCCGATCCATCCCCTGAACCACGTGCTAACAAGATCCGCATTTCATTTGCCCTCTTCCCTCCACCTCAGCCCACCGCTGTCGCTATCGCGCGCCGTTTTGGCGCGAGCCAGCGAACCGGCGCCATTGTGCGCGCGCGGCCGTGCGGCGCGCGCGCGCGCGGCTTCCGGCCGGAGCGGCCGTCATCTGCGGCGTGTCGGCGTCGCCGTCACCGCGGCGTCACCGCGCGTCGCGCCTGTCGCGCCTGACCGGCTGTCGTCCGCTGTGTCCACAGAGGAGTTTGTGGCGCACAGCTCCAACGTCAACTGTCTGGCGCTGGGCCACAAGTCGGGCCGCGTGCTCGTCACCGGCGGCGATGACAAGAAGGTCAACCTGTGGGCTGTCGGCAAGCCCAACTGCATTATGGTGAGTGGCCGGCCTCGGCCGGGCGGGCTCTTTTGGTTACTCCGGGCGTGCTGTCTATCGCCCCGAGGCCTTGTCATTGGCTTTCGAGAGGGGCGGGGGCGGCGTGTGTATGACTCCGGGACTGGCTGCTGCGACCGAGAGCTCCGTCACGTTCGTCACGCAGACCCATAACACGGACTCAGTGGGACGCCGCCTCCTGCGACCCCAGGCGGCCGGGCAGAGCAAGCCTGCCTCCCGGCGCTCACGTTTCATGAAGGACATGCGCGGCAGGGCTGCAGCTGGGTGCTGACCTCCGGACGCGGGTATCCATCGTCGGGCGGCGCCCCTTGCCCGTCCATCAGGCGGCTCTGTGGGCCAAGGTCGGCCCCCCGGGTCGCCGGTGCGCCGGTGCGCTGCGCTGCGTCAGTGTCCTCTGCCCGCGCCCGGGAAAGAGACACATCCCGCCGCCGGTTGGCGTGAAGGTCATCGGAGACTGTGACCCGAGATCGGCGGTCGGGCGGGTCACCTCCACAGACGGGCTGCGCGTCCCTGGCGGAGGGGTGTTGTGTACCACCATGTGGACGCGGCTGGATCGGCGCACGCTCATGCCGTCCTCCTCTGACGTCACTGCTGCCATGGCGGTGACCGTGGCCGTGCCGACTCGGCGACTGGGGTCCGAGGATGGACGCGGCGCACGGCGGGGGCTGTCGGACCCGGGTGGAGGCCGCGCCGCACCAGGTCACGGGGCTGCTCGCACCGGACGGGCCCAAGGAGCGGCGGCCGCTGGCAGCGCTGGGAGCTGCGCCTCGCTGTGGGTTACTCGTGGCTCGCCTGATACAGATAGTCGCCGGCTGCCGGCGGCCGCGCGGCGCCGTGGGAAAACAACAGCTGGCGGCCGGCGAGCCGGCGTCTGACGTCACTTCCGCCGCGCCGTTCATCTCCACGATAACTGGACCGGCGCGAGCGGCGGCGGCGGCCGGTGCCCGTCCGTTCGTTCGGTTTCTCCGGGGCGCCGCGCGGACTGTGAGTGACGACCGGCCGGTGGCGGGGGCTTTCTCCCGGCGATCGACACGCGTGCTGCCGGCCGGGTATGGCGCGGCGGAGCCACTCCGGCCCGCGGAGCCACGCCAGGCGCAGCTGGGCCGCGCCGCCAGTGGCCCAAACTGTAGATGCAGGGTTGCCTGGGAGACTGGTGTCAGTACATCTGGCCTCGTTCTAGATACGTTATTACTGGCGTAGAACTGTGGTGACTTGGCTCGTGCCGCGACCAGTCCCAGAAACCAACGTATTTAACAAGCAAGCTTTTTCTGGTATTTGGAAAGCCCGACGTTCCTGGTCCAGACACCGTTTGCGTGACGTCAGTATTCATTAAAGAATCGCGTGCCAGCATCGCGGTGCGGCAGTTTCACGCGTCTCCGGTCGAGAGCGGCGTCCTGGGTTTCTGTGCAGCTCGCGGCGTGAGATCACCCGCACGACAGCGGTCATCGGTGGATCGCCGTGGCGTCGGCAGGAGAGAGGCGGCGGCGAAGCCGTCCGATGGGCCGGCGGCACGCCACCGCGGCCAGTTATGTTGGAGCGCGCTGTACCGACGGCGATCGCCGCCTGCCGGTGCAGGGCTGCAGCGGGCGCGGAGAAAGCAGGCGTGGCTCCACGCTCGTTTGTGAACGGTGGCGTCGTCTGTCGTGGTGTCCATGTGATAAGATTTGATATCACATGATGTGGGCGTCTATGAAAGCGTACCGGTATTTGGCCCTGAAACCCTGACCAGGCTGATAGCGCATGAGATCGGCGGTCAGGGACACGTTACAGCCCCCTCCTGCCCGCATCCAGGTCGGGTTCGGCCGTCGTATCGTCCCGAGGGGCGGAGTCCCCTGGCCAAGTGGTTCGGTGAGAGTGGTTAAGCTGGCTCGGGTCCGCCGGGGGCGACCGCCGTCGAGTGTGATGTGGAGGCCCGGCCGCCCGCCTGCGGACCGGAACGGCGGCCCAGCCGGCCGGCCACGCCGCCAAATGGGGCTGCCGGAGGGCAGCGTCGCAGCCAGCGGAGGATGTGGTCCAGTCTAGCTTCTGGGGTTATGGTGTTATCCTTTATGTATCGGTCGTGGCCATCCAGGGATACAATGTATGGGATACAAATAGCATGCTATGATGCGTTCTAGTAGTACGAAGTTGTAATGCTATAATTGTATGCTGGTCATAGCAGTACGTTAGAATAATGCTTGATAAACACGGGCTCGGCTCTCCCGTTTTTGTCGTTTCTTTTGCCATTACTCTCCACTCTTCGCATGAAAGTGTTGTGTAATTTATCTCGCGTGTACCTGGGGATATGCTTTTAGACCTCATGCCAACAATAGCGGTTTGATTGGAATTATCGCGTGTCGTGGACGCCACCGTTAGTGTTGATTTTGAACTGATAACCGGCGTCAGAATGGTTTGTACCGAGGCTACCGAGGCCGGTGGCCCGATAGCCTGGATCACGTTACGTCCGCCTTGGCATCCAATGTAGCTGCGTCCTCAGAGCGCCCTCGCCACCTTTGGAACGGGCCGCCGCTGGGGGCAGACCGCTGGCCGCTCAGCCCTCCCAGCTCCAGGGAGGGGCCGGATGGGGGCAGACCGCCGGCCACTCAGCCCTCCCAGGTCCGGGGGAGGGGCCGGATGAGGGCAGACCACTGGCTACTCAGCCCTCCCAGCTCCGGGGAGGGGCCGAATGGGGGCAGACCGCCGCCCGCTCGTCCACCGGTGGTTACCACCGGTCCCGGGGCGGCGCCGGCAGGGCTCGCTGGCCGCCGACAGGACCATCAGCGCCGGCCGAGGTCAGGCGAGGTCAGGCGGACCGACCGACAGCTGGCTAATCACCCCGCCCCCGCGCTCCCGCCCACGGTAATCGAACCGCGCCGCCGAGCGCAGCCCGATCCATTGGCACTGCTCGCGCCCGCCGAGCGAGCTCACGGCGAGCGTGGGCACGCATTGGAGGCCGTGTCATCCAGATCACCCGTAATTGTGAGAGGCAGCCAGCGTTTTGGACGGCTTAAGTAAAAATTAGTGCGCTGACTGGTCTGACCAGACAATTACGGGGAACAGGAACACTTTTCCTCAATTTTCCCTTTATTTTCTGACCACGTCCGGGGATGGTCGGCCGCGCCATTATAGGCACCGGGCCTGTTGCCCTTCTGGCCGAAGGATGACTAGAACAGTGAACGCTGCGCCGGTAAGCCCCGCGTCCGGGAGGCGTGTCGCTGCCGTTGCCAGGAGTCGGCTCCCGGAATAGTCGGATCGGTCGCCAAAGGGCCGCCCTTGGCCTGTATTGTGGGTGTGCGGCTGACCCGCGCCGCCGTCACCGCTGCCCCAGATCGGCACGTGGCACGTCGCGACGGGGCCGGCTGTTTGGTCGGCGGCGACGGCCACGTATTGATCTGTGACGGCCGGGCCGCCACGGACACATTCCGCGCCAGCTGCGGACCTTAGCGACGCACGACTTCAGCTCGCCGTGTAGATGGCTGCACTGTCCGGCAATCAGCCTTGACGATTGTTTCAGTCGCCATGAATGGCATGTTTACAATGGCGTTTCTGTGTCCCGGCCGTCGAGTTATTCTTTGACGAACCTTGGCGAGTCCGCGCGCCGTTCAGCCAAGGCCCAGTCGTGTCGGCCGCGTCCGTCGGACCCCACCGTAACCCGGCGCGCTCTTTTTTGCCGGCTCTTGCGGCGTGAGAGAGTGATTGGAGCGCACCGGCCGGGTTGGCCCCGTGCCGGGGGTCTTGCGGCGGCGGGCCCTTTGTGCGCACCACCGGCCGGGGCGCTGGGTCACGCCGCGGTCAGACCGCGGCGTCCTGCCTGCTCGGCGGTGGGAGCCGCCGCCGCCTGGCCGCGCTCGCGGCGTCCGTGGCGCCGCTTCGGGGCGGCTGGCCACGCTGGGTAGCGACAGCAGGCTGCTGGGAACACCCGGTGTCGCCCAGGGTCGTTCGTGTGAACCACACATGTGGCATGACATTGGCGCTCTGGCGATGCTGCCGCGTGCTATGTGCGTCGCTCGCTTGACGTTGAATTTGCTTGACAACAGACGCAGGATTGTCTCCGAGGTGAACTGGTTAATGGGCAGCTCTGCATGGCACTCATGCAGCTCAGGAGCATGCGTAACATTCCTCGGTCTCAACTCCATATCGCTGAGGATTTGGGGCTCAGAAATCGTAATCCGTTGAACGCCTCCTTCAATCCCAAAGCTGAACTGAGTGTGTGGAGTCAAGGGCTCAGGGCTCAGGTCTCAGGGCTCAGGGCTCAGGGCTCAGGGCTCAGGGCTCAGGGCTCAGGGCTCAGGGCTCAGAGTCAAGGGCTCCGGTCACGCCCGGCCTTGACGCCACATACCTGCGTCACCGTGACGAGGTGCCCCCGACGCGGCCGGCCCGTCGGTGCCGGACGGCGGTGGCGTGCCGTCGGCGGGCCGCACGCGTCGATCGATTCCGGCACGAGGCCGGCTCGCCCAGGTCGGCCCTCATTGATTGGCAGCGGCCCGGCTCCGGTCCGGCACCGGCACCGGCACGCACGCGGCGGCCGGCTGCGGTGTGGGCGCCCACACCGGGGCGGGCTCGCACGACGGATCGGTCGGTCATGCGGCCCGCGCCGGTGGCGCTGGCGTCTGCCGCTGCGGCACTGCGCCGGGTTTGTTTATGTGCGCGGCTGCAGTCGCCGCAGACGAGCGGCCGGCCCGTGAGGCGCGGCCGCCGGAGCGCCGCTGCGGCGCGGCGCTCCGGCGTCGGCCGTCGCCAGCCACGACGCGCGTCCGTCCCGCCTGTCGCGCTGCCCGGAGACGGCCGCGACGACAGCAGTGAAGTCTGAGAGCGCGGCGTTCGCCTGGCGCCGTGGCGAGAACGCCGATTCGGCGCCGCGCGCCTTCGACGCCGGCCCGTTTACGGCCGTTTAAGGCCCGTCACGCACTTCCGAGCAGGCGCTTGCTCTGCGGAACGGCGGGCGTCGCGCGGCGTGAGCGCGGGCTCGCGAGCGGCCTGCGCTGGAGGGGCGGCAGGTCACC